GCAATTTTCAGTTTATATCACCTGCCCAGATGGCTTGTTTGATTCACTCACTTGCCTTAGGGCCATACAAATGGAAGATTGAGATCTAGCAGTAGATGAAATATGGGCAAGGCTGATCAAATTATCTTGATCTCAGTCTAGGCTATCTCTGCCAGAAAGGAGCAGAGGCAGTTCATGGTTCAGCACTGGGGGAACGTCTGAACACATAGCCTCATGTCCGAGAAGAAAGCTGTGTATGACTGGGTATTGCAGTCTCTATTTGTTAAAATTGCAAGCCTTATATTTCTTTAAAGGCATGTTTAGTTTTGTGTGGGTATTCAGGTACAGTTCAGCTTTGGTTTTCAGCTGTGTTAAAGGAATATGTGTAGTTGTTTCAGTGCCCATTTACATTTGATCACTGTTGCATCAGTTTCCTGACACAAAGCATATATCCATCCATTGAATTTTTCCAGGTGTATGTTATAGGTGCAGCAAGGAAAATGAGGCCAAATACCACTGATCTTCTGCTGATAACTTTCTTCTTACTTATGTTTGAGTGTATTTTGCTTTGGATTTTATTCAGTTCTAAACTCAGATAAGCAGAGTGACTTTCACATTAATAATCAGTTCGTTTCATTTTACACTATAATAGGAAGATCCTTCTCAAACCCAAGGAAATATTTTCTTTTGTTAGCTGTATTTTAAGATGGTGATCTCCTCTTCCCAATCTGTGCTGTTTCTGGTTAGGCTGTGTATATACAGTTGTTCAATTGTTTGGTTTGTAATCAGTGTTTTTGGAATCTTTCCAGCTTCAGAGGTTAACTTTCAGGTTTGTGATTTCCTGAGTGATTTTTTTTAACTATTTTTTTTAACCTTACCCTCTCCTATCACTGACTTATTTAGTAGGGTTTGTGGAGTACTGGAGATTATGTTAAATTCTTCTCTGGAACGTATCTCTTGAGGTGTATCTCTTTGTTTGGGTTTTTTTTTTCCACTTAAATGGTACTTCTGTGGTACCTAATCGAATTCACACTCACAGGCATGATAATCTAGACTTTATATTATGCTCAGTCCTTGGTGAGGTGTGATGATAGGCAGAGGGGATTCAGTAAGTCAGTAGAAGGGTGAGAATTTACACAAAAGGACCTACTCTGTTAACAGTATGTTGTTTACTCTTATCTGTGCTCAGCTCTGACAGTGAGTGTGTGTGTGTGTACCATAGGAAGGTTCCACAAATGGGTAGAGAAAATCAATAATCTACCATTTTATGTGCTAGAGCAAAAGAAGGGCATACAAAGTCAGATGATGCTGTTATTTACCTTAACTCTTCAGTGTCCAGCATTCCTCATCTTGGCCTGAATTATGAAAGTGAATGATCTAAAGAGACTAATTAATTACTTTACCACAAAGGAAGCTGAGGGAAGTAGATTATGATTTTGATCTCTGTACAAAAAGGTTTGTGTGCAAGTTGAATTAGTCCCTTGAGTACCTTATGGTTTGCAGTATGTCCAACAAAAGGGCACTTGTTTCCTTGTGAAAACACACTGCACATACCAACCTTCCCCTGCCAGAACTGGAGGGCTGTTCAAGTTGCTGATCAGCATTTCTCACTATCATTAGCATTTAGTCACCTATTAGTATCTAAATACTGTAATTGGGGGTCTATGTTTTTCTTTTAAATTGAAGTAAAAAGTGAATTGTCATAACTCTAAGCTGTGCAGATAAAATAGTTTCTAAGCGTTCAGCATCAATGTGTGTTATGCAGCATGATAAAGAAAGCTCATCTTCACTCTTTACATGTAGCGGCACAGTAGATTGTCCTCTAAAGAAAACTTGAAAAAACAAATCATAAGCTCTCTGATCTCAGAATGGTAATGCAAGTAGAGAATATGTATCAAAAGAAGGGTATACTAATGTGTATCACTTAAAAAATACAAATTATTCTGTGGGTAAGAAGTGAAGATGGGTTGTATGTGGCTTCTCATCTTTTTTCCTCGGTTCTTCCCAGTGGTGGCACAGGTCCCCTCCCTCCCTCTACTCTTTCCCTCTGTTTATTTTTATTTTATTTTATTTTTTTTTTATACACAACCCATTCCTACTGTACAGTGTGCAGGTCCCTCCCTGCAATGTGGGCCATGGATGGTTCTGAACTCCTAAACTTGCTCCTCTTGCACTCTTCTTCCCACCATGCAGCATTAGTCTCCCCTCTGCTTTTCATAAGGATGGATTTTCCACAAAACATTTTGAAATCTAGTTTGCTGGAGACTGCTGAACTCAAATTTACAGGCTGTTTTCGATCAATCCATGAGATATATGGATGGATGTCACAACCACACTGCCAATTGTCCAAGTCTCCTTTCCTTCAGCAGTGTATCTTAAAAGAATGCTTTGGATACTTGTTAGGTCTTCCACCCCCAAAAATGTGTTTTAGGGATTAGATTCTCACCATTCTTTTTCTTGAGGGTTTCATATCTTTTAATCTTTGTATTTCGTATCTTTAAACTTGGTGTTGTCCTCTAACCATCAGCCTCCGCTGCATGAGTATAGTTGCTGCAAACTTGTGTCTCATTCCGTATGAGATAGCACTCTGTATATCTGTGAGTAGTAACACTGTATTAACACAGCAACACAGTCCTAGCTGTCCCTCATTTAGAAAAGCAAATGCATCCTTTTGTCTACTGTTTATTGTGAATTACATCGTTGGTTGACAATGGTATTCACATTTTATTATGCTGACTCCCTGGCTCTATGAGGTGCTCGTTGCATCTCATGGTTTTCCCCTAAAAACTTTCACTGTGAAAATGCCTTGCACCCTTGCTTCCTTGTGCTCAGGCTTGCTAGAGGGTGTATGCCTTCACACTTCTGTTTTTTCTCTTCTCTAGTAGAACATGATGTCTCTGTATGCACTTTCATATTTTTATTATCCTTCCTAAGATACCTGGAGAGCTGAAAGAATTAAAATAAGAGGTTTTATTTCTTTGGAAGGTACTAAGAGTGTCCTGTTAGTTCTGGAGACAGTATTGTTGGTTGTTGAAACTGGTAGCTCTGCCAGCCCTGGATGTCTGAAATAATTTTTTCTCTTACTGTATGTCCCCTTGGGGCTTTCCTAGTTCTTGTTAATTTTTTTTTCTTCTTGGGAAAAATTTGGACAAATCAGCTGAGGTATTCTCTAGCTTGTACCGTGTCCAAGGAGAGATGCCATCATGTTAAGTCTAAGACCTCATCCAAAAGCTTGAGAGCTGGGAGTGCTGAGAGGAAACAGGTAGACTTCTGAAATGGTATGTGTGAGGCATTTCCATTTAAAATATTGCTAATGTTTTTCTTTAAAGGAGGGAAAAGAAAAACCCAAAAGGGGGGGAAGTAATTAAATTTAATTTGAGAGTACTAGACAAATCTTAACTTTGTAATTTTTTGGTATCCCATCTGCAATAATGTCCTCCTGTGTTAGACAGCCAACTGAAACCTGGAAGTTAAATAACTTGTTGAGATCCACAGGAAGTAATATTCTCATTTTGAATGATAATACAAGTTCCTGACTTTGTGTTTTGCCCCAACAACTAAAACTGGCTATCTACAACTTGCTCTGTTCCAACACACAATTACTATTGAACTATAGCGTTATGGTCTTCATACTCAATTCTAGAAATGCTCCATCCTTGTCCCTTGTATAATATAAAGTATTGCCTGTAAAGTAAATAGAAACAGTAGTATGCAAATAAATAAATAAATAAAAATGCCTGGGATTTGAAGCTGGTCTCTCAAAATGAAGCTGATACATCTGGGCCCCCACATGACTAGAAGTACGTAGCACTTTTATGCTGGCTTTCTCACCTCTTTCTGATGCTGTTAGCAAAGTGAAGGAGGTCTTTGGTAATGTATAGAAGCTGGGATACTGAGTGTTTTGGGTGTCTTGGGATATGTTTGTGTGGAGTTACCAAAAACAAAAATTAAGCTTATAGAGCAAAGAGTGTATCAACTCCTTAGCATTTACTTTAGTTGAAAAGGAAGGAGTGATAACTTTGATTTTTGAAACAGTGAGTGTCTGATGTAAGCAAAATATGGACCAAAGTGAACACTGCAGGTTATGTGAAACTGCCACTTTGAAGACACTTTCCATAAAAGATGTGTTCTGGTTTAATTCTAAGGGTTTTTTTGAAACTGGAGTTAAATATTTACAGTTATACACAGCTGTTCTGGTTTTGTACTTGTGACTGTTTGTATTTGGAGTCATATGTAGAGAAAAAAAAAGTAATAAATTTCTCATTAAAACAGAGTGAAGAAAATGAAAATTGCATATTTCCTGAATTCTATATCGCACTTCCTGTATATTTGGCTTCTAAAGTACTCCCAACAGTGATCTTACTTACCTTGTCTTGAAGAGAGCATTGATAGTAACAGGATGGCCTGACAATCCTAAGACAGGAGTTTAATTCGGAGATGGACAGAAATGCTTCCCTACTGAATAACCTTCACAAGCATTTTTAGCACTCTAATTTTCTTCTGAAATCAACAGTTACAAATGGAGGGGAATGTGGGTGAAAGTCTGTCCTTGAGTCAGAGAAATGTAGAACTTTTTAATGTGAAGGAGGAAAAAGTCTTGGGACATTGCTCTTCCTCCAGGCCACAGACGCTGCATAGACCATCACCTAGTATGATATTTAGAAAATCAGTGGTGATCCAAAAAAATAGAGAAACAATCATTAAGATCAAAATAAATTTTTATTTTTAATTGTACTAAATTTGTTATGATAGAAGGGTGTTCTTGATCTCTCTTTGCGGTACGGGGTTTTTGGTTTTTTAAGGGTTTGATCTGGTTTTTTACATCTGGTACAATATTTTTCATCATTATAAGTAGTTTTGTTCACATGGTGTTCACTTAATTTTGCATTGTGATCATATTTTGTCAATTTTATGATGGCCTGAATAAAATAAAAGCATTTATGAATAGTCTAAAATGTGTCAGTGCTGATTGTCAAACCAAAACTGACTATTGGCCTTTTTTATCTTTATCATTTTTTGAGAATAAAGACCAGTTTCTTCATGATGAACTGTCATCTTCAGTGTCACATCTTGCAACAAAGGTAAATACCTGTTCTTTGAAAGTGTAACATTTTATATATATTTCAGTCACTGTATGCTAGTTACCGGTTTTTCATGGATGTCTGATTAAGTAGGATATTTATATACTTCATTGATGGTTTTATAATTCTGTATGATCCTTGGTCATGGGGTTCTCATTGAAGTAATATTAGCAGTGCAGTATTAGTTGGAAAGCTGCCTTATTTTCTTTTATTAATGGGGAGGGAAAGGTATCTTAATTTTTTTTTCTTCCACATGATAGATATTAGAGCACAAAATGAAAATAAAAAGACACAGGAATAACTGAAGTCTAAAGAAGCACTAAAATCTAGCTGCAACTGCCAAAGACAACATGAAAAGTAGAAGAGATCTCTGTTACTTATTCCATTATATGTAGCTCAGCTGCCTCTATGACCACAAGAGGTTAAGAATTTTATTCCATATCTCTTTCAGGAAAGAGAAGTAGGCATGCAAGTTAATTTTTTTTTTACCTTGATATGTGTCCAAGAATCTTCTTTAATGTTCTTAAAATACATTAGTGGAAGATGAAAGAACTGGAAGTTATTATGATATGCTAGAGCTTGTTTTGAAATTCCATAGGTATAGAGAAAAGTATTTTAAAATAGGTTCATTAGCGTAACAGGATACTTAACATTAATATGTATAAACTGAACATCTGTCTCTGTTACTTCTTTTTTTCTACTTCAGATGCAGCATGATTTTCATTGAAAATAGTAGTTAGATTGTATTATACCTTTTCCTACCCTTTTGAAAAAATATAATTTTTTAATGAAAACATATAATGCCATATATTTTATACCAGATGATAAATGTTTAGGGAGAGACTCCTAAAACTGTTTTATATTGAAACTTTTTTGCTCCTTCTTTCAGGAAGGCTTGATAAGTGTGTGCTTTGACTTAAAAAAAATCCCAACAAATATGTCACCAGGCAAACTACTGAGCTGCAGTACTCTTTGTTTTAAAATAAAACCCTCTTGTCTTAAAAATGTATTCACAAGAAAGCACCTTATCCTTATCTTCCCTTTCTGAAATTTTGATTCTGTATTTTATTTGCTTGTTTTGTTGTCTTAGAAGCACTCAGTACAGTGATACTCGAGAAGTTCTAAAATCTTTAATACGTTAGTAAAAGGCTGATGAATTACATGTGTGGCCTTTTTGGTATGCACATATCATGAATAAAATAGTCTCTGTGTTGAAGCATTATGGTGAAGAACAACAAAGTTCTGGAAGAAGAAGGTAGTGGATAAAAAATGTATCAACAGCCTTCCTGGTCTCTTAAAGCCTGAATTTTAAGACAGTGCTGATGCCCGTTTGCAGAGGAAAGTCTTTGACCTAGGTTTGGAGGTTTAAAGTAGGAGCTAGTCCTAATGGCTACAGATGGAGTTGGAAAACAGTCTTAGATCCTGCTGTTGCAGGAGGCTGCCCACTGAGCAGTGAGGACAGGCTAATTGCAATGCTGAATTTCTCTAGTTCCCTCTCAACAGCTCTCTTGAAAGGCAGGTATAGCTGATTAAAAAGCCTTGTGACATCTGAAAGTGAGGAACTGTGAACCCTCTAGTGGTGCTCTGCAAAATGCAGAAATCTGGAACTTGTGTTCACACTGTGCCTGGACATATGACTTAAAGAGCAAATCATGAGGAGCAGCTGAGGGAGCTGGGGGTGTTTAGCCTGGGGAAAAAGAGGTTCAAAGGAGACCTCATGACTCTCTACAACTACTTCAAAGGAGGTTGTAGCCAGGTGGAGGTTGGCCTCTTCTCCCAGGCATTAGTAATAGGACAAGAGGAAGTGGCCTCAAGCTGCACCAGGAGAGGTTCAGATTGGACATCAGGAAGCGTGGCTAAGCATTGGAATGAGCTGCTCAGGGAGGGTGGTGGAGTCACCATCCCTGGAAGTGTTCAAGAAATCACTGGACATGGAAATTAGTGCTATGGTTTATTTGACATAGTGGTGTTCAGTCAACGCTGGACTTGATGATCTGGGAGGTCTTTTCCAAACTTAATGATTGTATGATTTGGCCTCTGCAAAACTAATCTTGGGGGGTCTCACCTATGTGCTGAGCTTCTGAGTTAAAAGTACAGCAGAGACTTCATCTACAGTTGGTTTTAGGCCAGATTTTGAAAAGAGACAAAGAGTTTTGAGTAACAAAGTAGATCATGTTTGAAACCATCTAAGGAACCTGAATGTGCACAAATCCATGGAACCTGATGAGATACATCTGTGGGTCCTGAGGTGGAGGTAGTGGCTAAGTCACTATCCATCATTCTTGAGAAGTTGTGGCAGTCTGGGGAAGTTCCCACTGACTGGAAAAGAGGAAGCATAACTCTCAATTTAAGAAAGGGAAATAAGGAATTGCAGGCCGGTCACTGTCGACCCTGATGGGGCTAGATCCTGGAGTTTCATTTTTTGCGTGCCACAGGATAGAGTAACCGCTGATCTGCACACCAGAGACTGGCTGACTTGAAACACCCCCCTTCCCCTCCTGCCACCCAAGGCTTTAATATCTGTAAGACAAATTTGGAGAGGAGTGGTTTTTTACATTTCTCTTATTTGGCTTCTTGTATGTTATGAATGGGTTTCCTGTAATGTGGGAACAACACTTTAGTTCAAGCTGATTTATTTTTTTTTTAAACACTTAGTTGTAACTTTATTGAACTGTAAGGTACTTATACAGAAAATTTCATCTCTAGCTTTTTTATTTTAGGTTTTTTTTTTTTTGCAAGGGGAGGAGTGAGGGGAGCTGTAGAACAAACAATTGTTTCTCCTCAGTCAAGGTCAAGAGGAAAATCTGTTCTTTCTGTTTGTATTTATAAAAAAAATCTGCAAGCATTTCGTAGAGTGCCTCTACTTTGCTGGAGAGTTTTGATTCACCAGTTGTCAATCCTCTGTGAAAATACTTGTGGAGGTCTGCTAAAACATTGCCCAAATATAAATTTCTGTAAATCTCATTTTGTACCTGCTGAGCAGTGACTTTTTAGGGATTAGCTGCTTAACTACACAATGGCATTGAACATGCTGATTCTCACCGCAGGTATACAGCAAGAATCCCTTGTAATTGCTCTTTTTGGTTGCTAAGACTGTCATGTGGCTTGTTCTAGCCTGCAGAGAATGACTTCTGTGCTTCAGAGCCCTGCTGGCCAGGCAGTTGGGAAGTAGAAAAGTCTTAACAGGAATATATTGAAAGTACGGGTACCCACTCATAGTGCAGTCAGAGTAGTATTCAAACATACTTGAATTTCTTGCTTTGAACTGTAAACTGCTTGTCTTGTACATCTAACCCGGTGTCCCAAATCTTGTTATTCTTTGAATTGATTGAATTCTGTGTGAATAAGATGTTCACATATATTAAACCCATCCAACTGATGCCTGAATTTACCTGTTTTCAGTTAAATTTACACAATTGTCCTCTTTAGTATATGTTCATCTATATCTGCATACTTTTTGTGTAATTTACTTTTAAAAATTGCTTTAAGGCCTGAACTACTTATTTAGTTTATACCCAGCTGTTAGCATTCCTGGTTTGTTGCATTTTAGCCCAATTTTTCATGAACCTTCTTGCCCTCTAACAGAGTTCTAATTATCAACTGTTTATCTTTCACAGTAAAATTAACTGAAGTGTCTTCTTTGTGATGCTTTACTGTTTCCCAGTGGATTCTTTGATTGTTCATTTATTACTCATTGCTTGTTTACCAATTATGAGATGAAGAATCATTTAAACATCAGAATTTGTTGATGTGGTGAAAAATGGTGTCCTTAAACTAATTTTTGGTAATAATACTTATCAATTTTGTAGGAGACTTCCAATTTAAGAGGACCTGTTCCATTCTGGGGCATTTTATAAAGTTAACTATCAGTAAACATTTGCTCCCTGTTTTATCTAAAGAAAGAAAAATTGTAGTCAACATGTACAATTTATGTACAGTTGATTCACTTGAATCAATACAGGTAACAAAACAGAAGCCTTACTGTGAAGATTGAGTTTACAGAGTGAAGCTTAGGGGGTGAGTTTGGGGAAGCCATACTGTATGTACAAAGCTGTATGTATGCAAGAAAGTTGATAGATGACTGCAATTTTCAGAGGGTGCTTCAGCTGTTATAATAGTTGCTGCTGCAAAAAAAGGTGCTTTTGCCCCTAAATTCCACGTGCTTTGGAGACATCTTTTAATGAGCTGATTCATAGCATTAACCTAAAAGACTGTAAAAAAATGAGTGATTTAGATTTCTGCTGGCTTAGTGAGTTGAACTGGTTTTCCACAGCATCACACAGGCAGTGGACTGGGTTGACCCTTTTCAGCAGCAGTATCTGATAAACCAGATTTGTCACCTTGTGAGACTTTTCTCTGGGAATCTGTCTGACAGATGGGCACTGATACTGAAGCATTGGCAAAGCAGAGGGGAGGGGACTGGGGGAGAGAAATGGCAGACAGTTTGAGTAGGGATACAGACTGCATCCTTTACATGATGTTCTAGAAGTGACTGCTTGTACTCTCGGTTCCAGATGATACTCTAATTAAAAAACATCTTTCTCATGGGGAAAAAAGAGTACTTCATTAGCTGGAGTTTCCTCTACTGAAGGAAAAGAATCTGTGCTCTGGCTTGAGCACTTTAGATGCCTGTTGGGACAGATGATGATGATGGCTTTCAGTAGTCTGCCACTTTTTACATTTCAGGTGACTGCACAGGGGATTTCTGCAAAGGCTTTCACAACCTAAAGTGGAAGATATGGGAGAAACTTTATTAATTGCTGTTCTGATAGGCATACTCTGTGCTTTCATAGCCAAACTGGTATGAGACCAGTCTGTATTCTTACTTCAGAAAACACTGAAATGGCATCTTGAGAAGTTTCTTCTTTGTTTTTCATTGACATTTTTGAAACATAGTAGACTGCGGCATCCAACCTGGTTTCTAAAGCTTTTAACTTTCTAACATCTGATGTTACAATTGTAGTTCTTAATAGTGCTATCTTTTTTTAGCAATCCCATAA